AACTCACCAATGTGATCTGTTCAACTCACTTATCTTTTTGTCATTAAGCCTTCTGTTATCATATAGAAAGGACTGTTCTTTCCTGTGTCAGGTTATAGTAGAGTATCCTCTATAACTCCCAATACTATAGTTTTAACAAATTTTATAATATTTTATTTATTACTTGATAGTAATTTATATAAAAGATAAAAATCTGTTAAATTATGTTTTAAGATAATAATGTTATTTTAGAAATTCAATAAGAACCGGTAATTATGTTTATAAATATTATTCTATCTTATTTCATTTACTATTAGTATAAACATGTACTTTGTAATGAAAATACAAAACACACAACAGATAAACTTTAAATAGGATGTCAACTTGACAGACCGGTCACAGAGTAGCACTAAGTGTCTTAACAATATGAGCAGATTTGAAATGAAATGCAGTTTTATATCCTACTGTTCTGTATCTTATTGGACTAATGAAATGAAATAGAGTTCTATATCCTACTGTTCTGTATCTTATTGGACTAATGAAATGAAATAGAGTTATATATTCTACTGTTCTGTATCTTATTGGACTAATGAAATGAAATAGAGTTTTATATTCTACTGTTCTGTATCATATTGGACTAATGAAATGAAAAGGAGTTTTATATCCTACTGTTCTGTATCTTATTGGACTAATGAAATGAAATAGAGTTCTATATCCTACTGTTCTGTACCTTATTGGACTAATGAAATGAAATAAAGTTTTATATTCTACTGTTCTGTATCTTATTGGACTAATGAAATGAAATAGAGTTTTATATTCTACTGTTCTGTGTCATATTGGACTAATGAAATGAAAAGGAGTTTTATATCCTACTGTTCTGTATCTTATTGGACTAATGAAATGAAAAGGAGTTTTATATCCTACTGTTCTGTATCTTATTGGACTAATGAAATGAAATGGAGTTTTATATCCTACTGTTCTGTATCTTATTATACTAATGAAATGAAATAGAGTTTTATATTCTACTGTTCTGTGTCATATTGGACTAATGAAATGAAAAGGAGTTTTATATCCTACTGTTCTGTATCTTATTGGACTAATGAAATGAAAAGGAGTTTTATATCCTACTGTTCTGTATATTATTGGACTAATGAAATGAAAAGGAGTTTTATATCCTACTGTTCTGTATCTTATTGGACTAATGAAATGAAAAGGAGTTTTATATCCTACTGTTCTGTATCTTATTGGACTAATGAAATGAAATGGAGTTTTATATTCTACTGTTCTGTACCTTATTGGACTAATGAAATGAAAAGGAGTTTAATATCCTACTGTTCTGTATCTTATTGGACTAATGAAATGAAAAGGAGTTTTATATCCTACTGTTCTGTATCTTATTGGACTAATGAAATGAAATGGAGTTTTATATTCTACTGTTCTGTATCTTATTGGACTAATGAAATGAAATAGAGTTTTATATCCTACTGTTCTGTACCTTATTGGACTAATGAAATGAAATAAAGTTTTATATTCTACTGTTCTGTATCTTATTGGACTGATGAAATGAAATAGAGTTTTATATTCTACTGTTCTGTATCTTATTGGACTAATGAAATAGAGTTTTATATTCTACTGTTCTGTATCTTATTGGACTAATGAAATAGAGTTTTATATTCTACTGTTCTGTATCTTATTGGACTAATGAAATGAAATAGAGTTTTATATTCTACTGTTCTGTATCTTATTGGACTAATGAAATAGATTGGAGTTTTATGGAGAATGTATACCAAATTTCCATAGTGCTGATGTTATAGTTAACGTGAAACCAGACTTACATTCTGTTTCAAAAGCTGAGTTTGAATTATGCGACTAATTTAAGTCAAATACACTTAAAAACTAGTTGAATTCTAAATTGTTTACATTTCATTTTCAATAATCAATACTAGTTTCTAGTGCAGGGTAGTGTGAAACATAATAGACCTATTACAGTCTTGGAACACTAAAATTATAACATTATAAATTTTCAATAGTTACATCTTCATCTGCTAGGCATTTAGGCGCTATGGGTTCAAATCCTCCCCCACTTCAGTGAGAGAAGTCCAGGTTATTTGTAAAAAGTTATAATAGAACTCTTATCATACAGTGTTGTAACACGTAAAATTCAATAAACTGTTATAAACTTTCAATACTTCACACTTCGTCTGCTAGGCATATAAGCGCTATAGGTTCAAATCTTCCCCCTCCTCTGTGCATGATGTAGTTGTTATGATCAAGGGCTTTTAATGTAGGTCACAGAGGCTGAGATAGAAAAAGGATCTAGTACAGATTGGTCAATCAACTGTGTTACAGTGGATATTAAAGATCCCTTGACAGATTCATTTTTCGACCCGGTTACCCCCTGTCAGTGATGCAGGTACGAGGGGCTGACATGGAAAAAGCGTCGGATGGGACAATAAACCAAGATCCTGTTGCTACAGGCTGTGCATGTTAAAGATCCCTCAACAGTTGGAAATCGAAAAATTTCCCTCTTTGCACCTTGCATGGCGTTGCCCGTATTCATTAGCCCACATGGTGCAGAAAAGTAGCACGTAAAACTCCGTTCATTTCATTTGACAGATTCAAAAAGAAACAATGTAGGCTTTCTAGACAAAATTTCACTCATTGTACACTGCAGTGTGTTGCCTGTCTCCATTATCTCGCTTGATGCAGAAAAGTATTTCATTACTTAATAACTTTCAAACATTAAAAAATTCTCACTTACACTTCTATAATGTAATACTTCTGTAATATGATAGGTTGATCAATATTATATCGAGTTTGGGAAAGCTCAGATGGTAGTGAGTTGCATTGTCATCTGCTAAACGATTCAGTGCTGTTTGTTCAAACCCAGTTTCAAGTACAATCCAGGGGTCTCTTCTGCAGTGATCTTCAAAATCGCTGAGTCTGGTGTGAGCTTTCAACCCTTATTCATCCTCACCCATGCATAACCATATGAATATCATCTCGAAGATTTCTACTTCTGAAATATTTCTGTCATCACTGTGTTGGAGCTATTTTAGTGCAGTAAAAAGTTGCCCTTAATTTTTTACAAATAATAAAAACAAGTACTAACAATCCGAACTGCAAAACTAAACCTGAAATCCAAACAACATACTGGCGAAACATTGGTAGCAGATAATGAACTTTTCATATGAGGAATTATATCAATCATAGTGAGTATTTCATAATGAAAAGAGGTATTAGGTGTCTAGAAGAGTGAGCATAGTTATATCAGTAAAACAATTTACTTCCAGTTATTCTGTATAATTTGTAAAAGTTTAGTCATTATAAATACATTGATAGCGAAAATGTGTTATTGTATTTTTGTTGACCTAATATTAGATTGATAGGAGTTAGATATATTCCACACAATGGATAGAATATAGGTGAATAGACCTCTAGAGTATATTGATCAAATTACCTCGTATACTCTATAAGCTCCATTGTTGTGTGTTTGAACCCTTTAATGGTACAAATTTCTGCTATTCATACAAATTTATATCATTATCCATACTAATAATCCCTTGTCCATGGTGATTTGTTCAATATTCATCAGGCTTTTAGAGAATGAAAATCTCAGGGCTAAGAATTGATGTGGTGTGATGCCTCCACGAGAATTTTTAATTGGTACACTTTACAAATAAAAGCAAAAACTATATCAACTATGCAAATATGTGTAGAAAAAATAAATATGTGTAAAATTTCAAAGAGGGAAAGAATGGTCCACTGAATCTAGTTATTTCCCTTGACATATGATATATGGTTGATCAAAGAGTGCAGAAAGAGAGAATATATACAGTTATTGCCATTGACAAAGTGCTGGTAAAACTTTTGTTAGCCAATCAAAAAGTGGAACATAGACACTAAGTCAAAATAAGTGGAAAATAGGCACTTTGTCAAAAAGTTCACCATTATCAAAGTGTATCCAAGTTGCCAGATATAAAACAACAAATCCAGTTATTGCCCTTGACAATTCAAAATATATGCTAGCTCAACCTTTTTAATTCTATAACCCCTTTCAGGATCCTTAATAAATTACATTATCCCCTCCCTAATATGAAGGCTAAAACCACTGTCCTGGCAAAATTTCCGTCATTGTACCCCGTACGGCGTTGCCAGTCTTCTTTAGCTTACATGGTGCAGAAATGTAGGATGTAAAACTCTATTCATTTCATTTCATTTTTAGGTTTTACCTGCCATATTGGAAAATAATGGATGACAGAATAGAACAACTAAATTATAATTGTCTAAAAATTTCATGCTAGACTAAAAAACCCCCTTAAAAATGTCAAAATTACCGTCAAGTTGAAAACCTCTGTATTAGCTAATAGAAGTCAGTGTAAAATAGATTTTTAAAAAAAAAAGTTCAAAAAAGACCAAAGCATACCAGTAATAATTTTCAAAAATATGACCCAAATTTATATTCAGTATTATAAAAATTGAATAACTTCACTGTACAAAAATTTGATTATTCAACTGACTGGCTTTAGAATTATTAATATTGTAAATACTTGAAACTTAGAATTATTGTTAGCTCTAGTAATATATATTCTGGTATAATTTAAATACAACAGCTGGTCAACAATGCTTATTGCTAAAATCTAATTAAAGATCATTTAAACTGGGACTTCGTTATTCACCGCTTTTATTAGCATTTAGTTCCTTTGTAACTGTGTTTCGTTTATTGTTAATAGTATCAACGCTTTCATGTGGTTTTCGTGCTCATTGGTGCTGTTTTAAGCTAGCTTTATGTTATTTCCTTGCTCAGTTAGCTATTTTAGCTTTGTTTGGAGCGTATCACGGATGTTCTGAGTTTAAATGACGATCATAACTCTTTTTTTTCGATAATCTAACTGTGATAGGTCAATGCAGTGTTTCGATTTCATTGGCTGTGATCGATCAGTGTATTAGTCAAGGATATTTAAAATCCAGGTCTTTCTGTGGACCTACTGTTATAAATTTTCTGCCATCCTGTTTTGAATATGGGTGGGAAGAAAATTGGTCATGTCACTTTTGGCGATGATACAGATGAAGGTTTGAATTCTTATGATTTTTTAACGAATTTAAACATGGCTTACATATTTTTAAGAGTGAAAAAGTGTAGTGACTTTGCAATCTGATTAAAATAAAGATCTTAATGCTGCATGTTTTTCGTTGTTTTTATTTATAGGTATTTCCTCTTACCATCCATGATCTGACAAAATTGTCATGTCTCTCCTGTTCTAGGTCAGAACAACCAATTCGATCAACTGTTTAAAAAAGGAAATATTATTGACTACAAGTGATAAATTTGGGGTTTTGTTTTTTGTTTTAACAATAATGATACATGATTTAAACATGTTGTCAGATCTTGAATTATGAGTGTCATGACAACACAGACACAAAACAAACTATCTACCATGGTCTGTAATAATGTCTGCCACCATGTTCTGTAATAATGTCTGCCACCATGTTCTGTAATAATGTCTGCCACCATGTTCTGTAATAATGACTGCCACCATGTTCTGTAATAATGTCTGCCACCATGTTCTGTAATAATGACTGCCACCATGTTCTGTAATAATGTCTGCCACCATGTTCTGTAATAATGTCTGCATCAGATAGCAGTCTTAAAACACAGACAATAATTTTTGTATTTTTAAATTTTTTACCTTCTTTTCCAGACCCTAAAAAAGTTAGAGACAAAAAGAAATTTAAAAGCGCCAGTGATGTGAGACATGACAATGGAACTATAACACCAGGGGGCACCACTCCTGGGACACATGCACCCCGTCGTAAAAAATTACTGAACAGTTTTCGTAAGAAACGTGAAAAGTGGTTCCGAGGAACAAAAAACAGTAAAGAAAACGATGTACAATCAGAAAGACTTTCGGCAAGTCAGCCAAATATTTCTAATTATCAAGAGGAAATTGAAAATTTTTACGAATCAGCCACGGCCGGAATATTACGAAACGCTCCGGAACGAAGCTTAAGTGACCCGACCTTGACCCCACAGTTGTCTACCAAAAGCAATAATTTAATCAACAGCCAATCAGGAAGTCAGGATCAGAATGATGAAGTGGATTCTGGGATTGCTGTGATCGAACAATCACCATCCGTAAGTTATGTTTTATTCTTTTTGATTAATTATTCATAAAAAAACATGTTACAGACACGAAAAGGCTCCATCAATTTATTCCTGGTAATAAAATAACAAGTAATATACTTATTAATATATATATATAGAAATAGATAATATAGACATAAAATACCTTCACAAAATATTCTTTTATATGTTTCATTACATATTGAAAAAAATGTAATGAAATGAATGGAGTTTTACGTTCTACTTTTCTGCACCATGTTGGCTAATGAAGAAGGGCAACGCCATGCAGGGTGCAATGAGGGAAATTTTGCCAGGACAGCGGCATTAGCCTGCTCTTTTTCGATTTCCAACTGTCGAGGGATCTTTAATGTGCACAGCCTGTAGCACACGGGCCTCGGTTTATTGTCCCATCCAAACGACTAGACGCTTTTTGCATGTCAGCCCCTCGTACCTGCATCACTGACAGGGGGAAACAGGGGTTGAAAAATCCGAAGGTATTATCTCAACCTATGCCAGGATTGAGCCCTGGACCTTCCTCAGCGTCTAACTCACTGAGCCACCGCGGCTCCCCCATAGTGAGACATAGTCACTGTATGTAATGAAACATGTCGACATAAAGAATATTTTGTGACAAAAAGACATTTTATCTTGATATTATCTATTTACCAACCTTCGTAAGACAGGTTAGTTTTACCCTACAGGTAGGACAAAATTAGAAAAAACATAGAAAGATATAAATCTTCTAAAACCCCTTTAATTTCTTAATTTGATTGACACACAAAAACTGACGAAATGAAAAACAAACAACAACAGGTCAATGACAAGGAAAATAAAACAATTTATCAAATTTATCAAATTCATTTTCCTCATCAAAGCATTTCATTTTTTTCTTTAAAACAACAGAAAAATGTTTTCCTCATTTCATGTGATAACAACAAATCACCCCCTCAATGAAATGCTCTAAAATCACCCCTTAATGAAATCCTCTAAAATCACCCCCTAATGAAATCCTCTAAAATCACCCCTTAATGAAATCCTCTAAAATCACCCCTCAATGAAATCCTCTAAAATCACCCCTTAATGAAATCCTCTAAAATCACCCCCTCAATGAAATCCTCTAAAATCACCCCTCAATGAAATCCTCTAAAATCACCCCCTAATGAAATCCTCTAAAATCACCCCTCAATGAAATCCTCTAAAATCACCCCCTCAATGAAATCCTCTAAAATCATCCCCTCAATGAAATCCTCTAAAATCACCCCCTCAATGAAATCCTCTAAATTCACCCCCTCAATGAAATCCTCTAAAATCACCCCCTCAATGAAATCCTCTAAAATCACCCCCTCAATGAAATCCTCTAAAATCACCCCCTCAATGAAATCCTCTAAAATCACCCCTCAATGAAATCCTCTAAAATCACCCCCTCAATGAAATCCTCTAAAATCACCCCTCAATGAAATCCTCTAAAATCACCCCCTCAATGAAATCCTCTAAAATCACCCCCTCAATGAAATCCTGGCTACTCCATTGTTTCTTCCATGATAAGGTGGGAATGGATGATGTACAGTGTACAGTGCGAGATTATTGATACAGTAGAAAATAGAAGAAACCAATCGTGTCTGCACTGTGTCCTCATGTGTTCACTTCTTCTATTTCTGTTTACATCGATTGTTCTGCACCATACACCACACGGGACACTGTTTATTCGCGGTTAAATTGTCTTGTGTTTATAATCAGAAAAACCTATAAAAATAAAATAACTCTTTAAAAGTCACACAGAAAAAAAACTTTTTATTTCTCATTTTAACAGTTCTCTGATTTACTCTAACATGTCTAACAAAAAACCTTGGGTTTGATATTTTTATCCAGTAACTAGTACTTTAATTTTTGACAAATAAAAATAAATAAATTATGTAAAAAATTTAAAACAAATTGAGCTTAAAAATTGAAATTATTTGTAACATCTGTTTCTTGCTAAATTCTGATATATTTTTACTCCAACTATTATATTATAATACTAGCCGCTTGGGCTCTCAGAGTGATGCCAAATTTATAACACAATAGTTTTGCTGCAAGGGTGAGCAAGCTCTGACTCCTTTCCAGTATATTGCTAAATTTAATTAAAAAATTAGTACATATTATCACTACAACAGCCATAAAAATGAATAGAGTTTACGTCCTACTTTTCTGCACCATGTGGGCTAATGAAGAAAGGTAATACCATGCAGGGTGCAATGAGGGAAATTTTGCCAGGACAGCGGCCTACTCATTTTCGATTTCCAACTGTCGAGGTTACAGACTGTAGCACACAGGGCCTCAGTTTATTGTCCCATCCGAACGACTAGACGCTTTTTCCATGATAGCCCCTCTTACCTGCATCACTGACAGGGAGAAACCGGGTTGAAAAATCTAAAGGTATTATCTCGGCCTATGCCTGGATTGATCCCTGGACATTCAGGTTAGCGAGTGATGGTTAACAGTCATACAATGTGAAAAAATATCAGCAAAATATAGCAAAGAGTCTAAAACTATACTACTTATCCTTTGCCTAAACACCAACTCATCCTAACAAATTAATCTATCCTAATTAATTTAGTTATTGAATAATGCTTAACAAATGAGCAAATGATATGATAATATGGAACTGGTATATACACTAGGTAGTTATTAGTAGTCAGATTAAGTACAAATAATACAGAGTTATTTCCCTTTGATCATTATTTGAAATTTTGGAGATATAAATCCTGAAAGTCAAAAAGAGAATACAGACACAGACAGAAATAATCATGTCACATTCAGTCACGTGACTCCAGTAATACTTCTGAATCTAGTTGAAATATACCTTTGTAAAAGTATAAAACAGTCTTAAGCTGTCTTACCAACAAAAAAAATATAAAACCTTTACGAAAAGGTTATTCAGTGTAGCAGGATCACAGTTATGGAACAAGTTACCTGAACAGTTTAAAACCTGTAAATCTGTTGACTCTTTTAAGAGAAAGTTAAAAACATATCTTTTTACAAGAACCTTTACCTATAACAACTGTGTGTGTGTATATATATAGATATTGACTATAATGTAGATATATCTGTGTGTGTAAAGCGCCATTCAATGCAATAAGTAATAAGAACTCTAAGTTCAATAATCTTAATCATATATTTTGACAGTTAATAAAATCCTTCTATTGCTAATCTAATGAAGTATTCTGTGCATGTTGTACAAATTATATAAGAAGCATCAACTTGTTTTATGTAATATTGATGTTCATTCTATCACTGGAACAATAAACCGAGGTCCCTGTGTGCTACAATGGTAAAGATCCCTTGACAGTAAGAAATCAAAAAAGAGCAGGCTAATGCTGCTGTCCTGGCATAATTTCCCTCATTGCACACTGCATGGTGTTGCCTGTCTTCATTAGCCCACATGGTGCAAAAAAGTAGGATGTAAAACTCCATTCATGTCAATTCATTTTTATATATTATCCAGTGTATTAGAATCTAGGTATTATATCCATCACGATGTTTTTAAGAATTTTTCTATAGAAATCTAGAAATGAGAAACATCAGTTAAAATATCCTACCTCTATTAAATAATATTATTTATCAACAGGGGCGTAACTTTATCAAGGCAAATTAGGCAAATACCTCACGCTGAATTTAACAAACAATAAATTTTGTTTGAAAATTAAAAATATACATGTGATATCATCTTGATTTTATGTTAAAAGTAAAAGTGGTTACTATTTAAAGTGTACTGAAAGGGTTGCGATGAAAGAAATAACATGAATTCAAAGACAACAGGATTTTTGCCTAGTTACAGCCTGATCAACTAAAAGTATCAATAGAGTTAGGTGAATCAGTTATAATCTGAATGTTGTGAGGAATCCATTTGTCAGAAACAGATATGAATCTCTTCAATCTCATTGCAGAATAATAATCTTTTTGAAAGATTTAATTTGGATCATGTTATCGGGTTAATAAATACTGATTTGTCATGTGACAAGACATATTACCCTGAGAAGTGTGTCATATGAATAAAATTTTCTTTTGAATACGATGCACTGAAACCATTATTTGCCTCAACTCAGTGATACCTTTCACTTCATTGATCATAACTTAATGATCCTGCCTACCAGGTGATCCTTGGTCAAACCTCTTGGTAATGATTTAACAAGGATAACAACTTAGTTTCTGGAAGATCCTGTCTACCATCTGGTCCTTGGTCAAACCTCTTGGTAATGATTTAACAAGGATAACAACTTAGTTTCTGGAGGATCCTGTCTACCATCTGGTCCTTGGTCAAACCTCTTGGTAATGATTTAACAAGGATAACAGCTTAGTTTCTGGAGGATCCTGTCTACCAGCTGGACCTTGGTCAAACCTCTTGGTAATAATTTTACAAGGATAACTACTTACTTTCTGGAGGATCCTGTCTACCATCTGGTCCTTGGTCAAACCTCTCGGTAATAATTTACAAGGATTACAACTTAGTTTCTGGAGGATCCTGTCTACCAGCTGGACCTTGGTCAAACCTCTCGGTAATAATTTAACAAGGATAACTACTTAGTTTCTGGAGGATCCTGTCTACCAGCTGGACCTTGGTCAAACCTCTTGGTAATAATTTTACAAGGAAAACTACTTACTTTCTGGAGGATCCTGTCTACCATCTGGTCCTTGGTCAAACCTCTCGGTAATAATTTTACAAGGATTACAACTTAGTTTCTGGAGGATCCTGTCTACCAGCTGGTCTTTGGTCAAATCTCTTGGTAATAGATTTTACAAGGATAACTACTTAGTTTCTGGAGGATCCTATCTACAGCTTGGCAAATTTCTTGGTCTGATCATCTCTATATTGATAATGATCATACCTGCCTTTACGCCTTTTTATGGTATCAATATCTTTGATTGCAAACATTTAAAACATTTTGGTGCCATTGAATTACATCGTTATTCTTTTAATATTGATTTTCCTGAAAGATACAGACATTTTCTTAGTAATTTAAAAACATGGAATACAATAAAAATTGATTTTATAATTAAAATGTGTTGTATGTTTACTTGAGATATTATATATGATTAGTCTAATGATTTGTTTCACGTTTTTACCTGGCTATTATTTGCTTTTAGATTGATTTTACTATTCAAATATATAAACCTATATCTAATTCTCTAGCTTTCATTCTGCATGTATTTTAAACATTTTATATCAATTTCAGTCTGACATGACTGATAAATACAGCCGAATCAACAGTCTAGAGCTCTAGTCTGACATGACTGGTAACTAAAGTCAAATCAACAGTCTAGAGCTCTAGTCAGACATGACTGATAAATACAACCAAATCAACATTCTAGAGCTCTAGTCAAACATGACTGATAAATACAGCCGAATCAACAGTTTAGAGCTCTAGTCAGACATGACTGGTAAATTCAGTCAAATCAACAGTCTAGAGCTCTAGTCTGACATGACTGGTAACTAAAGTCAAATCAACAGTCTAGAGCTCTAGTCAGACATGACTGATAAATACAACCAAATCAACATTCTAGAGCTCTAGTCAGACATGACTGGTAAATACAGTCAAATCAACAGTCTAGAGCTCTAGTCAGATATGACTGGTAATACAACCATATAGACAGACTAGAGCTCTAGTCTGACATGACTGGTAACTAAAGTCAAATCAACATTCTAGAGCTCTAGTCGGACATGACTGGTAAATACTGTTAAATCAACAGTCTAGAGCTCTAGTCAGACGTGACTGGTAAATACAACCATATAGACAGTCTAGAGCTCTAGTCAGACGTGACTGGTAAATACAACCATATAGACAGACTAGAGCTCTAGTCAGACATGACTGGTAAATACTGTCAAATCAACAGTCTAGAGCTCTAGTCAGACATGACTGGTAAATACAGTCAAATCAACAGTCTAGAGCTTTAGTTGGACATGACTGGTAAATACTGTCAAGTCAACAATCTAGAGCTCTAGTCAGACATGACTGGTAAATACAGCCAAATCAACAGTTTAGAGCTCAGGTCAGACATGACTGGTAAATACAGTCAAATCAACAGTCTAGAGCTCTAGTCAGACATGACTGGTAAATACAGTCAAATCAACAGTCTAGAGCTCTAGTCAGACATGACTGGTAAATACAGTCAAATCAACAGTCTAGAGCTCTAGTCAGCTATGACTGGTAAATACAACTAAATCAACAGTCTATAGCTCTAGTCAGACATGACTGGTAAATACAGTCAAATCAACAGTCTAGAGCTCTTTTCGGACATGACTGGTAAATACTGTCAAGTCAACAATCTAGAGCTCTAGTCAGACATGACTGGTAAATACTGTCAAGTCAACAGTCTAGAGCTCTAGTCAGACATGACTGGTAAATACTGTCAAGTCAAC